TCCCATGCCCCACGCGATCAGTGATCTGTTTTCTGATACTATTAATTCTATTTGTCTTACCTAGAATTTCATAAAAACGGAATCATACAGTATGTACTCTTTTGTGTCTGGCTTCATATGTCATCTATTGTGAAGTTGCCAGTTTTTGCTGTTTTGTTCTGTTACTGAGTTTTTAGAGTCCTTCATACATCTGGACACCAGTCTCCAATTTGCAACACCTGTATTGCAAATAGTTTCTTTCAGTTTGTGGTTCACCTTTTCATCTAGCTAATGATGTCTTCCTAAGAATAGATTTGTATTTATTTCACACTTTTTAAAAATATATTTTTTTTATTGATTGCCAGGACCAGGGATCGAGCCTACAACTGAGGTACTTGCCCTTGACTAGAATCCAACCCAGGACCCTTCAGTCCGAGGAGGACCGACGCTCTATCCACTGAACCGAACAGCTAGAGCTGTTCCTTAAAGGGTTTGTAAAACTCACCAGTAAAATTGCCTGTAGCTGTTGTTTTCCTCTAGAGAAAGATTTTAACTTTTTCATTATGAACATTTTCAAACACATAATGTTTCATTATGATATTTTGCGGGGGGGTGGAGAGTGGAAGAGAGAGGGAAAGACAGAGAGAAACATCAATGTGAGAGAAACACATTAACTGGTTGCTCCTGCAGGAGCCCCGACCAGGGCCCGCGCCGGGGAGGAGACTGTGACCAAGGTCCATGCCCTTGACCAGACTCAAACCCGGGACCCTTTGGTTGATTGTCTGTCTTTTGCATGCCCCAAACTCCGAGCATATGAGCATATGAGCATATGCCCTTGACCGGAATTGAACCCCCAACTCCGAGCATATGCAGCATATGCCCTTGACCAGAATTGAACCCGGGACTCTTCGGCTGATTCTCTATCCACTGAGCCACACTGGCTAGGGCCAAACACACTCAATATTAAAGAGAATGGTATAATTAACCTCACATACCCATCCTTCAGCCTATATAAATGGCCAGCTGTGCTGCTTGTTCCATCTCTCTCCTCCACTTCACATGTGCCTGTCCCTGTTCCCGGGGCCCTGGGAAGCAGCCCTCTCTGGCCCATCCACAGCACGGTAATCATAGGTGATGTTTGAGACGGGCGGCGTGCCAGATGCTGAGCTAAAGGCTGTACATACATGACCATTTGAATCTAAAGCTTCCAACCAACTTGTGAGGTAGGTGTTGTGCCATTAGTATCTCCACATGGTAACAGGTTCAGAGACATTGAGTAACATGCCCAAGGTCACACAGCTGAATGGAGGAGTCAGGATTTGAACCCGGTTATGTCTGACTTGAGAGTGGACATTTTGTGCAGTTACCTATCACAATGTGACCATGAGCCAAGTCCTAGATGCAGTGGCTGAAAGGGCCCTCAGGGGCCCTTCAGGTCTGCCTTGAAGCAAGTCAGCGTCCTCTGTATCCCTCCAGATCCATCTCTGCCCCAACCTGGTCAGCTTAGGCAACAGGATGCTCCCAGAAGCTCTGGTTTCTCAAGGTCCTTTCTGGTGGAGGGTCAAAATCTGTCTCCCTTTGACTTCCCTGTATGGTCAGCCTCTGCCCTATGGGGCCTTAGAGAAGACATAAGGCTGCTCCCCACGCTAGGGAGTCCCTCAGCTCCTGAATCACTCCTTCACCAGATACTGGCTGTGTGCCTACGATGTGCCTGGGACGGAGCCGTGAACAAGACAAAATCGTAGCCCTGGTGGGGTTGATGTTTATTTTATTTTTAAAATATATTTTAATTAATTTCAGAGAGGAAGGGAGAGGACGCTAGGGAGCTCCTGAATCACTCCTTCACCAGATACTGGCTGTGTGCCTACGATGTGCCTGGGACGGAGCCGTGAACACGTGAACAACGTAGCCCTGGTGGGGTTGATGTTTATTTTATTTTTAAAATATATTTTAATTAATTTCAGAGAGGAAGGGAGAGGGAGAGAGAGATAGAAACATCAATGATGAGAGAGAATCATTGATCGGATGTTTCCTGCACGCCCCCTATTGGGGATTGAGCCCCAGGGCATGTGCCCTTGACCAGAACTGAATCTGGGACCCTTCAATCCACAGGCCGATGCTCTAACCACTGAGCAAATCCAGCTAGGGCTGGAGTTGATGTGTTTTTTTTTGTTGTTGTTTTTTAAAAATATATTTTATTGATTTTTTACAGAGAGGAAGGGAGAGGGATAGAGAGGTAGAAAC